GGGAGGGCGGCGCGGCGGGGCCGTCGGGTTGTCACAACACCGGGGGCTGTGCCCGGGCCAGCCCGGATGGGTCACTCCTGCCAGCTGTAAGGAGTGACCGCAGCTCAGGGAATCGCCTCAGCGAGAGAGGACAGAAGTCCTGGTAGTGACCTGTACTTTTCTGGCCTCTCCCGATGGCAGATCCGACCGTGGAGCTGCTGCAGGACAACCCGTGCGTGACAGAGCTGCTCACCTCTGTGCTGGCCCTGCCAGAGCCCAGCCCTGGAATCCTCTCCTTCACCCTGCAGCTAGCTGGGATCCTTGGCTCGTCTGAAACTCGCTTCCAGCACCTCCAGGTGAGCTGGGTACCCAGGGACCTGCTGCTGTGTGTCTGTCTGCTCCTTCTGCATGGACAACACCTGAAAATGTAGATATTCTGCTTATAAAATTCATGGCATACATCAACAACTCAGCAATCTCAGCAAGAAGCATAGAAGCACAGAACATTAAGGGGTTGGAATGGAGCTTACAGATCATCCACTCCCAACCTCCTGCCCTGCACAGGGACACCTCCCACCAGAGCAGGTTGCTCAAGGCTTTAGCCAACCTGGCTGTGAACACTGCCAGGGTTTGGGCCGCCTGTGCCAGTGTCTCACCACCCTCACAGGGAAAAACTTCTGCCTAATATCTAATCTAAATTTCCCTCCTTCAATTTGTCCTCATTGCTCCTTGTCCTGTCACTGCAGCTCCTAACAAAGAGTCCCTCTACAGTTTCCTTATTGCCCCTTCAGATCCTAGAAGATGCTATGAGGTCTCCACACAACCTTCTCTCTTCCGGCTGAACAGAAGACCTACAATTCCTATTTCTGTTCAGGTCTCACGTAAAACTGCTGTCTTCTTACTTCTCTCTTGCCCTAGCAGCACTGTGAATGCTGATGGGTAGTGCTTCTCATCTTTAGCTGAAAACAGTGCATGGGATGGCAGTACCTCACAGCAGCCATTGCACAGTACTGTAAGAAAGGTGCTGTAAATTCAAACTGTACTAACAAATGTCATTTTCCCTCCACAGTAGGTTGGAAATTTCTGATTCCCTGCAGAAACAAGGGAGCTTTTTCAAGCCCTACTTTGTATAACAGAATTCATTACAGTGCAGACCCCAAAAGGCTTCATGCAGGGAAGAGATGAGTACAACTGCATACAGCAGTCTGATGGAGCTGACAAGTTCCATTCCATAAAAGCTGATGTATATCAACTTAGGATATACGTAAGTTGTCCCTAGCACCTGAAAACCAAGCAGTTTTGAACACCTCTGTTGCTTAAGCTTAAGCATGAGATTCTGGAATTTTCCTACTTTAGCGATGCTTCTAGCAAGAGGAGGTTTTGCTGCAGTATTGATACTCTTGACTTAGACAGAGCAGCCTGTCCCCTCCCCTTTAACCCTTTGGCTGATCACTTACTCTGTGTTGTGCTCTGGCCTCAGGAGGAGAAGCTGCTGGCGAGGCTGTTTGGCCAGGAGGGGCCCCGGAGCAGCGCGGCATGGGAGGACGCATCGGTGCGCAGCGGCTGGGTGAAGGGTGTGCACAGCATGGTGCACCACCAGCCTGCACTCCACTTCCTCTGCAGCACTGGTGAGTGCTACTGGGACTGGGAACGCCCCAAATCCTCTGTGTCTAGGATCATAGAATCATCAAGGTTGGAAGAGACCTCTAAGATCAAGTCCAACCATTAACCTGTCATTGCTGTAACCCCTAAACCCTGAACTATGTCCTTCAGAGCTAGATCTAGACATCTCTTAAACACTTCCATGGATGATGACTCCACCACCTCCCTGGGCAAACTATGCCAGTGAAACACCTAACAGTGAAAACATTTTTCCTAATGTGTAATCCGAATCTCCCCTCTCTCAGCTAGTGGTTGTAATTCTCTCCATTCCAGTCTGTTGCCCAGATGTCAAATGAGTGAGACAGGAGTCTTCATTTAAGATCAAAATGAGTCATTTGTCAAAAACACTAAAGTCATTGAAAGCTGGTTGAGTTTTTGTTGTGAGTTACTCATTTTAGTTTGTTCCCCAAACACTGAAGATGGTGTCCTTTTTAGGGGGGAAAGAATCACGTCCTCTAAAATTAAAAGCCTTCTGTAGTCTTACTTGTAACCCTTACTATAAGGTACATTTCAGTATGATTTTAATGCAGAAAAACTTCACGAGGGGCTCATTTATCTCCCAATACTTGCATACATTTGCAGTCCCATTGTAGTTATGCAGGTGTGTTAATTCTGTTAACAGCAGCTTTAGATCCCATGTACAGAGGGGCCTGAAAGACTGGATTGGTTGTAAGCTGCAGCATGTGCTGCTGTCCATGTGATGGATAATGCTGTCATTCATAATTTTCCTACTGGTTGTGCCCAGACATGGTACAAGCTTCTTCCATAGACACACAGTGAATGTGCTGTCAACTCTCCTAATGTTATATTGAAGTCTCCTCCTGTTCCTGAACTATTAAAACCCCTGAGGATCTGAAAACAATTGTATTTTCTTCTTTTGCCTCTTTGTTATTAAGGACTGGCTGACTTTGAGTAGAGACTCCAAAGCAAAGCATAAGAAACACCACCACCCCAAGTTAAAGCTGTGTGGTACCTGACTTGGAGTCCTGTATGGTTGTAGTGCAGCCAGGCTCTACCTCACCATAGGAACTCCATTGTTTTGTCCTCCAGTGACTTGTTTTGTCTCCCCACAGGAGCCATAGATGTGATCTTCGCTCTGCAGGGGGATCCCAGCCTGTTTGTGGCTTCAGCTGCCAGTCAGCTCCTGGTGCACACACTCACCTTCTCTGGAGAGTCTGAGACATCCCAACCTCTCAGCACAAAGGACTGTGACTGGCCAGTGTGTGCCCAAATGATTGTAAAGCACACAGAAGATTCACTTCAGTCCAGCTCTGCCCCTCACATCGAGCAGTCATTAAAGCTGTTAACCAGTTTGTTTGGAAGTTGTTTTGCTGCATGGACCAAAGTGCTTTGGTTGGGCATAGCAAAGCAGATAGAATCCTTTCTGATGGAAGAGACTTTCCAAGCACAGCACCTGCTGGCAAGTCTGTTGCTTAACGTGGCACGGTAAAGATCTTCTTGGATCAGTGATGAGATATATCTGTTTGCCTCCATGTAACAGGATATATTACTTACACTTCTTTCTTCTCAGATCCCCTGTGTTTTGTGACACTGAAGGCAGTTTTTGGGCACTAGTGACTTCTGCTCTGGAACACTTAACCCCAGTACAAGCAGGTCCTTTGGCAGTGGGACTTCTGAGGCTCTGCAAATGGTAGGACTTCCTCCAATGAAATCTTTACACTCTTCAGATTTTTCTGTACCAAGATCTCTGGTGTCTTTCCAAGAACTGTTTTTTGTCCTCACTGCATTTTCCATTACATTCTTTAATATGTGAGACTGGTTGGCAAGAGCCATGCCAGGAGCTAACAAATTTCAAACACTGAGAGTAAGAATAATCAGTTTCAAAGAGAAAAGCATGATACTTGCTTGTTTAGTTTCTATGTGTACACTGACATCTTACCTACAAACAGCTAATTTCAGGAAGAAACAGCAAACTCCTGTAACTGTACTGCTAAGGTTGACTGAGATGGACACAATTTGGCTGCCTGTCAAATCCAGTAGTCTCTCTTTCATTTCTTCTTTCACAAAAACACTGACTAGTGTAAGAGCTTTCACTCTGCCCAGCACAACTGTGCACCTGAGGGCACTGTTGACCGTTGTAGGATCATGTAAGTTAGAAGGAACCCATAGAAGTGATCTAGTTCAACCTTTTGCTCAGTGCAAGGATAACTTCAAAGATAGATCAGGTTGCTCAGGGGCTTCACCATTCAAGTTAGAGAGCCCCAGGAATAAGGATTTCATGGCTTCTCTGGGCAAGTTTCATATCAGTCTGAAATGTATTTTCTGTATATTCAGTTGGAATCTGCCTTGTTGCAATTGTGAGATTCATGTCTTGTGCACCTGTGAGAAGTCTGCCTGCAGCTGCTCCCTAACTCCCCTTTAGGTGGTGAAAAAGCATCAACCAATGATCAGATGAATACAGCACATACAGACACTGATTTACAGGCTAAGCAACACTTGTGTTTTAAGCTAGAAGGACTCCATTTTGTTGACAAGAAATGCCTCCCTCTCAGCCTCCTCCTTACACAGGATCCCACTAGCTATTTGCATAGCTTGATAAAGCTGCTTCTAAATCCCAGAGCCATTTCTCCTCTGCTTTCAGTTAGCAGGGAAAGCTTGGAAGAAGGCTCAAATGGTGATGCTGTCACTGCTGGCTTGTTTCAAAGCCTGCCTGAAAATCATTATCCTGCTCAGCATTTGGGGGCAGATGTTTGGGAAGGAATTGAAGTGTTCTTGTTTTGGTAACTGCTGTTTCCTCCTTGAAGCCCACAAGATGTGAGGATTCAGGCACTGACTGTTCTACTTCAGCCAATGGACTGTATTTTGAGAGCAGCCTCCCAGCCTCTGGAATATGCAGGTACAGTTGTGCTAGAAAAGTTAGAGGCTAGTCTGCTTGCCAGTGTTCTAAGTGTCTGGTGCAGACAAAACCAGAGGAGAAAGAGCAGAAGGAGTCAAGGACAATAGCAGTGCTTGTGGTAAAGTGCAGCATCCTACTGACAGTTGTACTTGAAGGGATACTCATACTACATCACCTGAATATCTTGATAAGCTTTAAAATCCACAGTCTTCTGTATTCATTAAAAACCTGAGCTCTTCCCTCCTTTGGTCCTCTAGGTGTGCTGGATGAGTCTGTTAGTGATCCCATCACTGTTGAAAGTCTTCTGTCCTCCAAGACATCTTGTGCTGGTCTCCTGTGTCAGACCCTTGCTCACCTGGAGAAGCTGCTGTCTCTGGTAACATTAAGAGAAGGGAAAAAAGCCTGGGGATCACATTGGTCCTTGAAAGACAGTGTAAGATTGGTTGCAGCTTTTGCAGTAGAGCCTGACAGAACATGGAGAACAGTTGACAGTGAGGCTTTCCATAGGTTAAAGAAGTTTAGCACAGATAGAGACTCCAAATGTGACAACAGAGGAAAACTGAGGGTGGTAAAGAGCGACAACACTTAAGTTTTAAATCCATCTTCACAGGCTTTGTCACCATATTTTACTTACACTGCAATTATTGATTCTGTGGAAAAAAACCACAAATTGAGCTGCTTTCCCAAGCAGTGAGAAGAACCTCCTTCCACATGTGGAATAGTTCTTGGAAGAGAGGAAGATAAGCTTAAGAACCCACTAGAAAATGCAAATTTTGTTGCCTCCTGACCAAAAACTGCTCTGTATGCACACTTGAGACTTTTGCTGGAAACTCTTGTCTCTTTTGTTCTTTTTCCCCTCCCTTCAGATGCATTTAAGAGTGGATTTGCCCTACACATCTTTGTTGCACTCTCTCGTGGCAATATTGCAATTCTGTAATGGATTCCTGAGTCCAACTTCTCCTCTGGGCAGCACAATAAGCCGAAACCTGATCAATTGCTTCAGGGTGCAGAAGTCAGCCCTTGATGTCCTTGCAGCTCTCTCAACGCAAAAAGGTGAGTTCATCTCTGCTTTCTTCCCCAAAACAGTTTTACAATCCTGTGTCTTCAGCAGTTAAACTGGGATTTAGCTGCTCCTTCTCTCTGCATTGGTCCTTTAGTTTTGTCTTCTGTGTTTCAGGCTGTGACACACTCATAGGAAGCCTATTTGATGTCCTTCTGGCATACCTGGAGAGTCCAAACACGAGCCCTACTGTGAGTATAGGACTAGGGAGAGATCCAGGTCTCTTAGCTTGCCCCAGTGGGGTGGAATTCTGAGACACTGTCTAACCATAGTTCTTTCTTAGCACACTTTGTATCAGAATATGTAGGAGACTTGTCTTGGTTCTGGGTGGCTTGCAGGGAATAGCTAAATTGTAATGAGTAACTGTTCTTGACAAGACAGGAGCAATCACATCTGAGAGCAGCACTGACAGACTCGACATGGCCATGAAGTACTGAATTCTTTGCATAAAGGGGTTTCTCTTCTTGCTTTGTTTTGTTCAAATGACTCTGACAACTGCAAATCCAAAGCTGGAGGTACTGGCACTTCCTAAAACTAAGCTGAGAACAGGTGTTGGTTAGAAGTTATGTATAAGCACCAGTTATTTGTGGCTGGCTTCTTAGTGAGGAAGCATAAGTACTTGTTTACTCTGAGAATTTCTCTGTATGTTTGAGGCTAAAATGAATTTTGCCTAGCAGAAAGGCAGCACTGTCTCCTCCTGTAGTAAAGTAACTCTGCTTTACATTACTTCAGGTCCTAAAGAAAACCTTTCAAGCTACATCCAAGTGGTTGGTGCGTTTGCAGGAGCTGTCCTGCTCCAACAGTCAGCGGCAACAAACTGAGAAGATTTTGGAAGGTAATTAAGCAGCTAGTGGCACATGTGAAATCTGCTCTTGTCTGCCTTTCCTGCTCAAAGCACTGAAGATTGACTTATTCACCATGATGTTGAATTTTAGTTTAGCTTAGCCCAAACAGTGCTTTGAAGAGCTCTGGCAGAAGCACACTGCAGCAGCAAAAGGGATTGCATGAAATGAAGTGATGTAGAGGTTGTACAGTGCTTGCTTCAGTGAGGCTTGTTGCCTTTCATGTCCATTCAGGCCTGTACTTGGCTTTTACAGATGTGTTTCTGGTGCTGCAGAAGCGTTTGTGCAGTCCTTGCTGGGAAGTAAGAGATTCTTCTCTGGAGTTCCTCACTGCCATGATTCAATGCTTGAGAGGTAGGTGCAAAGATTGAACAGTTCAGAAAGAAGGAGTGTTTCTTCTAATGTTATGAAAATCAGTCAGGTTGGTGAAGCATCTTCTGACCTGTAACTGCAGGGCTAAGAAAAGCAAGAAGTGTCAAGATTTTTACTCTTAAATCATGATCAAAATCTGACAGATTTATAAACTTATCCTACCTTCCTGTTGAACTCAGATTGCTGTGCCTGCCTTAATGGCAGTTCTGGGGAGTTAAACTGAGGGGTGTTGAGACATGTATGTCAAGGCAAGTGACAGTGCTTAATGGCAGATAATATTTTCCCTTTTTTCAGTCTGCTCTGCAGTGGAGTCCGGATTCCCTCAGGGGGCTGGGGGCTGGGCTGTGGCAGGCTAAAAGCCTAGACCTGCTTTGCATGCTTTGGATTAATTAACTGATTTTCCACTTTACTGGGAGCTCAGGCCTTGCAGCAGGTAGCACTGAGGCAACATTAATTTTCCTGTGGTAGCTCTGAGGTGCTGGAAGAGAGGAGGATGTTGTCATGTTGTCCCCAGGGCACAAAGGAAGTGTCCAGCCTGTTCAGCTGCATTAGCAGTTTACCCCACAGCCCCTCTCAGTGCTGCTGTTACATTCTGTTTTCTCTGCCATATGCCTTGACAAGAAAGGACTATTATTTCCTTCTTAAAACAAAGGCATAGGTTTGATGAGGCTGAACCCATGTCCCTGCCTGCCAGCAGAAAGTTTTTTCTTGCCACTAAAACAACTGCAAACGCAATTTTCCAAGTTCCAGTGTCTAGCAGGGCTCGACTGAAAGTCCCCAAGCTGCTGGGAAAGGGGGAGGCTGACACAGAGCATCTGTGCTCTGGTGAGCAGCTGCCTGCTCTCTGCAGTGTCTCAGCTCACTGGCAGCTGTCCCTGCAGGTAGTGGGCACCCTTGTATGACGCAGGGGACTGTTTGCATTGGAAACAGCTTCATGCTCAGAGAGAACAAAGCCTCACTTCTTTGGATTGCTGTCTTGTTTACAGACCAGGATGAGTTCAGGCAGGCTCTCCTGTCTTCAGAGGTGCTGAGGCTTACAGAAAACCTGCTTGAGGATCCAGAAAGCTACGTGCGAGCAAGTGCTGTGACTGCTGTGGGACACTTGGCCTTCATCGCTTACTTTGCTCCAGAGTCACCTGTCGCAGGGAATCACTGTAACAAGGAGGTATGATGACTGTGTGACCCACTGCACAGGCAGAACCACATAGCAATGTGCTGTTGCACTGTTTTTCACCAGTTACCTGCAGTCTCATGCAGGCAGATTTCACACTAGATTTTCAACTTCTATTTTTGCTTCTTTGCACATTCCTCCCCTCACTGTGCTTTGTCTTTCTTTTTGCATCTAGAACACTGTAGCAAAGCTCCAAGAAATCTTGTCAACAGACTCAGAGGGCTTTCCTAGGAGGGCTGTGATCAGCATCTTCACCAAGTGGCTGAAACAAGGCTGCACAGGTCAGCTGGAAGATACAGAGCAGTTTGTCTCTAGAGTCATCCAGACTGTGGAGCATGACTTAGACTGGGAAGTCAGACTTGGAGGTTTGGAACTGGTTGAAGTTTTCTGTAGTCAGACAATTTGCCAGCTTGGCCTTTCTGAATGCCCCTATGCTCCTGTCCCCTCTGAAGTCACCAGTTCCACCCACCAAAACAAGCTGCTGCAGGTATTTTGCAGAGCAAAACTGTTTGGCTTTTTGTTTTGCTCTTTGTGTGACTGTGACAAACCAGTGGGTCAGAGAGCCTGTGATATCCTGATTGGCTTGAGAGGTAATTTCTATCCAATGAGTACTTTGGAGAATCCACTAGAGACTGAAGATTCACCTGCAGGACGCAGCGTTGCCTGGTTACAGAGGACACTGAGACAGGGTTCTCTGGCCCAGAACTTCCCCACAGATGGTGGTAATGGGGTGGATTTTCAAGATCCAGAGAGCATGATGCTAGCTTTGGGTGCAATAGACTTACTAGAGCTACATGATGAGCTAAATAAAAGTAGTGACCATGTGGAGGAAAGTCCTCAGTCCCTCTTACAGGACATCCTTGCTGCTGTGGGGACCACAGAGGAGAATGAAGTTGACTGTTACTGAACACATCTCTTGCTCTGAGGGAGCAATGTTTAAGCAGTTTCCTTCTGGAGAAGAAGGATGGTTTTGTTAGCTGTTAACTGGGTTAAAAAATCTTTGATACTGATGATTTTATTTGTTCAAAAGTTCAGTTTCCAATAAACGTTTTCTTTTTCAAAGTAAAAACATTAAGAATTGCATTTGTCTTTTTTTTAAAAAAGTTGTGTCTATTAACAGCAACTGAAACCAAGTCGTTGGAGGCTCCTTTTAGAGCCAGAGTAGCTAAAACTGATGAGGACTGGTTTTAAGGGCCACTTCTTTTGACCTTGTCTGTATCTTATTCTAAAAACAGTTCTTCACTTCCCTGTTACATTTTGAGGTCTAGAGCTGAGTGGCATTTAAGGAGTCAAAAGCTGATCATCCTTAACATTAGAAACTTTCTTCTATAGATCACATACTTGTTTCATCTCAGCAGTGACACCAACATGCTGACTTGGTTTTTAATTGAAGCCAGAAGCAAGTCCATTTTGCTGAGTTTTTCAAGTGCTCCTGTTCTCCATTCCTAAAGAACTGGGGATAGTTTCTAACTTTTAAGAGAAGCTGACATCTGCAGCTTTTTCATGATAAACTTCATCTATGCTTAGCTTTGGTAACAATTAGAAAACAGCAGCTATGGTGTGATGGGAACACTGTTTTCTGAGGAAAAATTGACAGTTCCATAAAAACTCAGGAAATACTAGTTTGCAACTTCCTCCAATGTCTTGCATGGTCTAAGAAGCTTTTTGCAACCTAGAAAATAATAAAGCAGTACTTTTACCAGTAGATCAAACCATGCTGCCTTCTTTTCCAGCACTGAGGTTTTACTGGTGATCCTTTATCTTCCTGCAGTCTGTGCAGGAACACAACACTTTAGGCCAATGGAGGTTGTAGCATCTCATGCAGTGGAAAGACTCCTGCAATCTCCTCTTTCAATATTATCCCTGCAGCAGTACAATAGGGGGAGATGTAGTTTGGATCTCTTGTTGCTGAGGCTGAAGATTTACTCTGTGCCTTTTGATGAAGTCAGCACACTTACCTAGCACTGTGCACAGCTTTTTGTGTGACAGAGCCCCTGGGTGTTGTACCAGCAGCTGTTATTAGGAGAGAGGAGCTCTGCTTCTGACACACAATTCTACTTGAGCAGAGGTAACACCTGGCACAAGACAGATGTTAAAATTCAGTCCTTTCCCTGCCACTGCATTCTGTCAGAAATTAAAGGGTTAGTGATAGAGAAGGGATGTGCTTTTCAAGAAGTGTGGATTGTTTGTGGAGTTCTAGCAGTCCTGTCTGGTGGAGGGATTACAGTTCCAAAACCAGCATTCTGTGTTGACAGTAGGTCAGATATGCTGCAGGAAAGGAGACAGCAGGTTGCTGGATAAACAGCTTCCTCCTGCTCAGTGCTCAAAGTCTTGTGATTTCAGGGTTATGCAGTTTAGGAGACTCCAAGGAATTGCTCAGATACCAGCAAATTGAAAAAGTGAGTTGTTACAGAAGGGAACTCACTGCTCATTACCAAGGTCCCTTGACTCCCAGACAATTTTTCTTTTTAATCTGTTGGGCTGAGGGTGACATTAAGTTTATAGCATTTGCCTAACTGCAGTCCAAAGTCTTGTTTATACACAGGATGTTTGTGCACTAAAACCCAAATGCACAGCAAACTGGGAAGGCTCCTTATCTTAGGAGGGGAATTAAGGATCGTTTCATCTTTCATTAAAAACAGGTCTCCACCTCTAGCAATGGTGTGACTCAGTGCTGACTCTGTACTTCCCTCCTGTCTGAGCTCTGCATTGCCTGACTTTGTTGTCTCTGCTGCTCTAGTTTCAGCAGAGTCCTACTAACACTGAGGTGCTTGCACTGACATCCTGCACCTGATGACTGGGAGAAACAGGAAGGGTCATGAACAGCTGAGCAGTGACTGGAACAAATGCCAGGGACTAGAGAGATTAAGGGAGATGAAAGCAAACAAAAATTCCACAATTCTTTCTACAGAAAACAAAGGGGTGGGATTTGTCAGCTGGAAATTTAGCTGATCATCCATCACGCTGGGATACCCATCCTTGCACACTTGAGGACTCATACAACCCCTACCCCACTTACTTACACTGCCAACTCATTTTCAATGCACTTCTTACCTACCAAGGCTTTTTTTGCACCTCCACAAGATCCTCACCCCAGCCACCCAGCTTCCTGCTGGGGGGAGAACTTTTGCCATGGTATGTGGTGTCTTGCCAAGCAGCTGTGGTCATGGTGCACCTCGAGGGAAGGGTTAGCTCTCGAGGAGACCATCCTGAGCAGCAGGCTGGTTGCCCCTACATGCATCCTGAGCATTCACTTCCACAAGTGCAATTGCTGCTCACCACTCCACAGCATAACTCATCCCTCCTTACTCCCCAGCTCTTTCCTGCCACACGCTGAGGACTCCAAGGCTTGCAGAAGGAGTTGGGCTGCCTGGCCTGCTGTTGTGGACACAGAGAATGTTCAAAGCTGACTTTCTGGGATGGATTTCTGTGGAAAGTGCTGTGCTCACACGGGCAGTGCTGTAGCTGTGTTGGGTTCCTGCAGGAGGCAGACACTGCCGAGAGTTTCTCCAACACATCCCCCCAGCTCACTGCAGCACAGGCTGTGGCTGGACATGAGGCTCAAGGCAGAGGCAGTGAGAATCAGGGCTGTGCTTTGCTGCAGTGTGGGCTGTGGGCAGCAGGCAGTAGCAATACAGGTGGTATCCATGAGAACATCATAGATTAGTAAAAAATCTATCTCTGCTGCCGGGTACTGTGGAAGAAAAAGATTACCAAGCTCATTTCAGCTCTTCATCTGCACAGGGGCAATGTTAAATTCTGTTGTCTGATCTGTAAGGAGGTGTGAAACTCCTAGAGTTGCTTTCAACACATTTCAACGAAGCTCGGAAGAAAGGATTTAGACTTTGACTGCTGAGACTCAGGCACGGGAGAGAATAAGAATCTTTGGCTCAGCCTACACTAGCAGTGCTTTATGAAAGCTGCAAAAGAATGGCAGTTAATTTTCTGTTTTAACACCCCAGGCATTTACAATCCAAAGAATATTCTTTGCCCAATTGTACTAATTGCACAACTTCCTCAAAAATGGGCCATAAATGTCTAAGTCTGTTGTTTTAGCTTAGATACATGATCTGTGGTTACAGATCAACTCATGCACATCTTTGCAATTTCTTCTGCCCACCTCTAACAAAATTTGCTCTACTTTCACATACATAATCACCAAGGCCTCTAAAAACCACTGTGCATTAGAAAGGAAACTCATCAACCAGCTCCACTGCAGAAGCTCTCAGCAATTTACAATGGAACATACCAGCAGCAGCAGCTCTGTAGTCTGTGGCATTTCCCCTTCAGAGCAGTGGTTTTTGTCCTGTGATGAGAAATAAAGCAGCACTTCAGACTTCAGCTGTGTCTGCTGTGCTGCTCCACAGACAGGACAGGTCTTGTCTTCAACCTTGAAGCCAGCACAGGGAGAAATGGGATTCAAAGGAGCAGTGTGTCTGTCTGAACAAGGTGGAACTGAGCTGGAGATGTACAGCTGCAAGGAAACACAGCATGGGCACACTTAGAGCTCAGCCCCAGGTGGAAGGGGAAATGAGGAATCCTCACCAGGAGTCCCTGCAATGCTACATGTGCAATTACACAATGGTTTCAGTGAAACAAAATGAAACTAAAGAAAGCTATCCATGATATCAACACTGAGACTGCTCACAGCACAGCAGCTGAAAGGGTTTATGTATGTAATAATAGACATATACCAGGGCTCCAAAGATGCCTTTCACATGGCTGCCTCCAAACAAACCCATCCAAACCAGTTACTCCCCAGTTGTCTGGTTGTTAAACTCCGTGCCAGGGCAGGAACATGCTGTCTGGGACAGAGGGTGTACCCACTCCTTTGAGAGACACTGCTTGATTGGGTCTGATCAGATGTAAACCACAACCTTAAACAGCTCCTGTAGAGTGTTAGGGCTTGAACCAGAATCAGCCTTTTTCACTACTTGGCAGTGCAAGGTAAGTGGGAATAACTCTTAAGAGATGGATATACCTTCAGATCTTCAGTTCTCCCATTTCATTACCTCTCAGTCCTCACATTTCCAGTCTCCACTGACTCCATACTCCCCAAACTTCCAGGCTGGGTCAGCAGAAGGGAGCAGGGAGCTCGTGCTGCTGTGCCCAGGGACATCCATGCTTGCCCTGGCTGGTCCCTCACCACCACAGTCAGAGCTTTGGCCTCAAACCAGTTCCTGGGCTGGGCTGTGACCAGCACAAAGGAGCTGCAGAGCCAGGTCTGGCAGATGGTGGTGAATCCAGGCTGTACATCTTGAAACATGACTTGGCCCAGCCAAGCCAGCTCCAAAATAAACCCTTATTAAGCTGCATAAGCCATCACACGTGAAACTCTTCTGATTTAGCCCTGATAGCACAGGTGAGCCCTGGAGCCCACCACTCTTGAAAACAAACACCCTTGATGGGACTGATCTCGTGATTACAACTTAAGTGCCAACCACAAAAAAGCTGCAGATAAGACACAAATGGCAATGGTTGCTAAGTGACAGCATCCATCCAGGCTTGTCACAGACCTGAGACAAACAGCTGTGGCTGCACAGCAATCCCTTCTTGTCCACGTAACTGAGGATAAAAATGCTGTTTTCATTACTGTCTAGTAACCTTAACTTTGACCTGTCAAAGTATTTTGTGCTTTTGGTTCTGACAAAGAGCCCAGTGAAAACAAGGCTAAAGGCTCCACTGAAACCAGCTGAAGTGAGTTTGATGCAAAACACCTTTAATATTGCATGCTTTTTGGACATATTTTCTTCCCAGTGAAGTAGTGCATAAGACAACAACACAGCATTCTCAGCTAAATGGTCCATTTCTGACAACCAGGGAGCTACATGACAGCATTTTCAGCAAGGGTCATGTGAAACAACAACAGCAACAAAATCAACAACCCCCCAACCTGTCAGCTCCTAA